CTGTCGACTGCCTTGAACGGAGTCCGATGTGGGATCGGCAAGATTGGGTTTTGTGACGCTGCCGGCCGAGTCCGATGCAGACTCCGAGGTCCGTCGGGCCAAGAGCTGCCGAGTCTTTTGGCGACCCCAACTGGAACGCGTTACTCGATCGTTCCGTTGGTCGTTTCACTTGTCGGTTGACGTGCTCACATTGCCGTGCTTGTGGCTGGCGCAAGCATGAACATCGTGGCCGACGCGGTGTTTCGGCCCGAGCTCGATCGCGCGGACCCTGCTTCGACCGCGCACTGCACAAAAGCTCGTGCATCGACACCGCTCCGCCTGGATGTTGCCAATCAGGTCGACCTGGACGCGCTTCGAGCTGCAATTCTTGGAGGTGTCGACCCATTGGATCGACCGATGGTGTGGCGCGTGCTGCTGCATGTCGTGGGGCCGCATCCGTCCGAGTGGGCGCACGAGCTGTACACCAACCGCACAAGCTATGCGCATCTCGTTCGCGAGCTCAGTCCGTTTTACGACACGAACTTGGACGACCACTTGAACGTCATCACCCGCCAGCGCAACTTGGCCAAGGCGGACGAAACCCTTCTCCACGAGATTGAAAAGGTAACGTTTGTTCGAGCGCCGCGCACCTCATGGTCATGGCGCAGGACGTGGCACGCACCCAGGTCGACCTGCCGTTCTTCTCGGTCCATGGGATGGCCCGCGACTGGATGGTGCGCATTCTCTACCTGTTTGCAAAGACCCACGCAGAGATTGGGTACTGCCAAGGCATGCACGAAGTGTTGGCCCCCGTTCTGTTTGTGTTTGGCACGGACAAGGACGCATTGTGGTCGCTTCACGCCGAAGCGGACGCATTTGCCGGGTTTGAGACCCTCATGCAGCTCCTGGCGCCGTTGCACCTCGCATCCAAGCAACAGCCCCCTCGAACAGGGGCTCAAGTTCAAATGGCACGACTGCATACCTTGCTCCGGCAGCACGACGCGAGCCTGTGGCTCCACCTGGTGCGGCCATGACCCATGACTCCCCTCGATTCGGTCGTGCTTCATTGCACTGTGTGCGTAGAACTCGCTCGGCGTCCTCCCCGATTACTACAGCTTTCGGTGGTACATCACGCTTTTGTCGCACGAGTTCGAGATGGACGAGACGCTGCGGCTGTGGGATGCACTCCTCGCCGACTCAAAGCGATTTGCATTGCTTCATTATGTGTGTGTGGCGCTGATTCTGTCCCACCGACGTGCGCTGATCGACCGCCACGCCGACTTTGGCACGTGCCTGACGGCCTTGCAGTCGAAACCCACCACCAACGTGCAAGCCCTTCTCGACAAAGCATTCCAGCTGCGGGACGTCGACCGTGCCACCGATCTCGCTCGCACCGGACCCCCCGGCGCCAGGGGCCCGCAAACCACTCAGCACGGATGAGCACACACCTGTGCACAACACGTTCCTTTATCACAAGCATCTCTTGCGTCATCGCCCCGCTGCGTCGTTGCCTGATGCACGCGTTGCATCCTCAACGTGTGTAAAGCAAGCACGAATTGTTAAGACAGAGCGCTCCACAGCGTTCGACCTTGGGGAAGGGAGAGACCATTTCGGGGGCAGTGTGCTTTTGGGGTGCTCACGTTTTCTCGAGGGACGTGCGTGAGCGACACTTGGCAAGGGCATTTCTCGCGGGCTACGTAGGTATCGTGCAGCTGGAGGTATTCCAGTTGCGCTGACATGCCGTCAGAGTAGGCAACTTTTCTTTGGCCACCGCAGCACACTTTCGAGGGTGAGAATGATCGGTTGTACAGCAGACTACCACACGTACCCCTGGGGAAGTGTCCGAGTCGTGTTGTGCCTCGCCGCTTCCCGAAATTGCGGAGTAATGAAACTCGCGATGACAATATCAACTCTCCAAGCCCACGGAGAAGTTGCCATCGAGAACGCCTTGTTGCGTGGCCTCGTCCGCTTCGATTTCGGCAACGCCAACGCGAGACCTCGAGACGCATGATGGACTGCGCCATCGGACGCTGAACGCGACGTGTGAGAGGCTCGTGCGAAAGGAATGCTGCTGTGGCAAGACCTTCCACTTACCACTTTTTCACCGATGCCGCCGTAACATGGAGATGTGACGATGCCTTGGTCACGTCAGCGCGGCCGAACCGACCGACACTATCAATCTACGTATCGCCACTGCGCGCTGTTGGCAACATTGGGCTTCGTTCATGGCAGCCGTCACTTGACCTTGGTTGCTTACCGTGTACGACGGGTGGCGCATTGCCCAAGCAAAGTAACTTGTATTGGCAAGACGAAGCAGAGTTCAGCCATTCACCCCCTGGAATTTCCCCGAGACCCCCCTGGTTCCCCTGCACACAAACCACCCTTGGATGCTTCTTTCCACGTGAATACGGCAGAGAGCACGTCGGATATTCGTCTTGTCCGTGCGTTTGGCAACCAAAGATGGAGCCGCGAACGAATCGCAAAACGAGAGAGCTCTGTTGGCAGCGTTAGATGTGCAAACGGCCACGCGCAAGACGTGATGCGGGAAAGGGGGAAAGGGGATTGCAACAACACGACGTTGATCGCTTCTCGGCCCTATTTTCCAATCGGGTTCCCTCCGCACAACACATCACCGATGGTAGCATGCGCTTCAAGAACGGCGCGCCTCATTGTAGCATTTTGGTCGGATGGGATGTCGCGGAATGTGTCTTCTGGTCAACCTGATATTGTAGCTAGGACAGCGTACGGATCGACGCCGTGACTGGAACGAGTTGCATTCAACAAAATCTCTACGCTGAATAGGCGATGGACGAATAGACCACACGCTCTCAAATTCGCGTGCTTGTGTACGTTTCTCAAGCGCACGTCGATGCTGCATAACAGTCTCGCGTAGACCCGAAGTGTGCCCGATTCAGACGAGCACGTCCACAAGGGACGGGCGCTTTGGGTTCGGAACGAGTTGGAAGCGGTTTTGCCCAGGCGAGGGGCCGCGGTTGCAATGCCTGCCCGACCTCGACTACAGGTACTTTGGGTCCGTCACATGGATATCACAACCAAGGAACATTTGGTTCGGTAAACCGCGCCACTCGACTTTGGGAGGACGGTCCACGACAAACCAAGCCAGCGACGGTCGGCCAGCAACCTCAAGCATCTTTGCTTGGCCAACACGGTGCGTTGGCTGCTTCCACGGTAAGCAATGCCACGTGTTTGGCCAGCGTGTCTACGCCAAGTTTCTGTACAAGCCATGCTAGCGCCAAGAAATTCCGTCCGCCACGCCGCCACGTCATGGAACCTCGAAACCCCAAAACCTCGAAACCCCGCAGTGTGTCAACTATGGACGAGGACGAATAGTACTTAGCTCAGTGCATCCAGCATACAAAATTTCAGTGTAAATGATTTAGTACATTTTCGTATTTAAAATACAGCCCGACGTACTAATCGAGTTCTCTATTCCAAAATCAAGTGAATTTGTATACAATTTGAAAACCCGATCACGAATTCACCCTCGGGCCAGAGGCATTGCGCGCCGCCGCCGACTCCATTGTGGTATGGGCAATATGCGAGCGCACTCGATCCTGTCATCTGCCACGACATACTGGGCAGAGACGTCGTACACGGTGGAGCAATATCAGGCCAAGGCAGGAAGCGTAACCAGTGGCGAACACGAGTGGTCGGACGGAATCAAGGAGTTGACGAACGGCGACGACAATGCGTTGCTGTGCAATGTCTTTGACCTGGAAGTGTTGGAAAACGACGGTAGAGCACAGGCGGAAGCGATTGAGATAACCCCAACTTTCCCGACGACATTGGAGCTGGAGATGGAATGGGCGTGCTTCAACCTCCACCGCGTCGAGTTTCACTGGCTCCAGATGCACGCGACCGACCCTCCACGAAGCCGCATGGATGTGACATTTATCAAGGTGCTGTGGGAAGGCATGAAGTTCCCTGAAAAGAAGGTCTACAATCCTGAGCAGGTCCAACGACTCTCGCGGACTGCTGCTGCACTGTCGTACTTTCGACAGTCCCGGCCCCCGTTTGCAAAACCTCTTCCCAGGAAAAAGTTCCTCCAAGGGATCCATCATGAACCACCGAGAGGCAACAGTTGTGCGGGGCCACCGTCGCAGACGGAATACATGACATCCGTGGAGCACCCTCGCCTGGACAGCATCACGAAGGCAGCACTGCTATCGATACCACCCATGATGTCCAGGTATGATAGTTGCCGATGCACCACAATCACTAGGACCATTCTGGACTAGTTAACCACCGCCCGATGTGATGCAGTCGACAAACGAGAGGTTGATGCACTCGGGTTGTTGAGTATTCTCCTGTGGGACGGCGATTGCAAACTCAGGCATTGCCCACTGAAGCAAACCATCTCGCCACCGTTTGGATCGAGTGGCTTGAGTAGTTGGCGGTAGAGGGCCACCGATGCGTTGAGAGAGGCCGTATCAAGGCGACAACGCTGCCGATGGCGTGCAACCTGCAGCCAACGCAATGGACTGCTATCCAAACGACGGTGAAACGAAAGCGAAAATGCCGTGGCTACATCGTCTTGTGTGGTTTGTGTTTGGTTGAATGATGCATGGCCGCCACCACCCCATGCTCAAACGTAGTCGACGTGAAGAGCACCCCACGATCGGTGCAACTCGACCTCCTCCCTTCAGTGACCTCGCCAGAGTGACTTGGATTGACGAGGATTCAGGCCGGGTGCAATGAATTGCAGTGCTGGGCCGTGCACAGCTCCTAGACATGTGGAATCGTCGCGTTGTACCGGTATCGTCGGTTGAATCGGGCAACAAGCATAGCAAAGGCAAGTCAGACGGCGGCGAACACTAACAATCCGTCCATGCTTAACGAGTCGTCGCCGACGTCGCCCCATTAGGAGTGGGTGGCTGCCCAGACGAATCGATTGAGCTTCGATGTCATGGCAGAACGTGCTCGATGGCAGCACCCAGCGTCCTCCTTGGACTTGCGATGGCCAGTGCTTCTGCAGTTCTGGTCTTTTCCGCCACATCATCCACGTTTCGCCAGTCGAGCTTGTCATCACGACACAACTCGGCGATCGTCGTCACTGTGCGGCATGTCCTAGGCACGTCGGCGACGTTTATTCTCCCCGAGAAAGCAGTGATCGACGCAAATGTCGAAGCAGGCGAGGCTGGCTTCGCTGCGAATTTCATCCTGACTCGTCTTCGATGGTTACAAGGACCTGTTCCGTCCAGCGTCCTGCCACCCGTCCAACCGGCGCACGTGGCACAATCATCTTGAAAGGCCCATGGTCGCTGCAAAAGGCGTCGTGGGGGCGCTTGCCTTTCCGTCCTACCAAACGGTCGAAGGCGATGGCAAATTGGACAGTCCAGGGCATTGCCAACTCGTAAAAACAGCGCATAAACTCATTTGGGGCATCTACTCAACGGCGACTGCTGCGGCTATCTTTGTCTCTCGAGCGCGCACGTACATGACGTTCTCTCGATCGAGGCCGATGGCGGCGACTCGATGTGTCGTCCGCTTTGTGCCGCTTCGAGTCTCGGTCTTCTTCACTCCGTTTCGTGTTGGCATGGCGAGACGATGGATGATGCCGATCCTCTGCGTCATATCGGTCACGAGAATTGGACCGGCGGTGCCTGTCGTCGCGACTTCGCGAACGATGCGACCGTCGGCGGGGCTTTGCGTCGTCCGGTTCGTCCACGAGCTTGTACGAAGACTCGGGACGTTGTGGCTTGAGCGAGACGTGGCGAGAGGGCGGGGCTCGGTGGCCACCGCCGCCTCGGGGCTCACTCGTCTCTTGGCCATCGTTGGCGGTAATTCTCTTGTCTTTCCGGTGAAACTTGTTCCAGAGCTTGGACACGGACTGGCTAAAGTTGACCTTGATACGGCGGTCGTCAATCAGGACGTTGTTCATCTTGAAGAACGCTTCGATGCAGTGCTCCTTGTCTGTAAACTCGACAAACCCAAAGCAGAGACTGTCGCCAGTCTTGTAGTCGAGGATGATGTGGGCGGTGCATGGTCCAAAGCGCGAGAAGATTAGTTCCAAGTCTTCCGCCGTCGTGACAGGGTTGAGTTTGCACAGAAACAGGACTTCCTCTGGAGGCTTGACGTCGGCATCGGGGATGTCCCCAACCACTTCTAGGAACACCCCACGCGACTTGGCCTCGCGCTCGCGCTGCATGGCCAGCAGCTCTTCTTCCGTCTTCCCGTCGTTGTCATTCAAGTTATCCAGCACGCTCAATCGGATTTCAGCTACTTCGGCTGAGGGGCGTTCGGCCACTGGCGACGATGGCGGCTCGTTGAGTCCTTTGGGGTCCGGAAATGGATCCTCTAACACAAACGTGTGCAGGATACGGCAGTCCTGGTACGGACGGCCCTTCTCGTCGGCGTACAGCTCGGATATCTTCTCCAAGATTTCAATGCCTTCGACGACATGGCCAAACACGGTGTGCTTGAGCAGGTGCTCGAGGTCGTCGTCGCGCATCGTCACGAAGAATTGACTCGTGTTCGTGTCGGGACCGGTATTCGCCATGCAAAGACACCCCTTCTTCAAGCTTGGCTTCACAGCCAGCTCGTCGGGAAACGCGCGAGGGGCACTGGGATCCAAGACGTGCCAAATCGAGTCCCCGCCGCCACCAGTCCCAGTGGGATCCCCACTTTGGACCAAGAGGTTCTCCTGGACGTTAAAGAACAGCACATTGTTGTAGTACTTGATCTTGCACAGCTTGAGAAAGTTGATGCATGTCCGTGGCGCTTCCGTCGTGAGGAGGTCCACGACAACTTCGCCAAGCGAAGTCTGGAGCAGGACCGACATGCTGCTGGAGAAACTTGCGGTGGGTGATGGAAGGGATCCGGATAATGCACACTACCATGCGGATATGTGAGCCTCATCCGGAGATGATCGTTGTTGCCTGTACTA